CAAGCCGCACAATCCTATCATGAGTGAAAAAGCTAAGGGACAGCCCCTAGGCCCTGAATTCAAGCTCCAGAATGGGGCATGCACACAGCACACGTACGCGCACACACACACCACCACCACCACCACCACCACCACCACCACCACCACACCACATAACACTCAAGTGTGTTAGTTTTTACTTTTATTCAACCAAATTTTGGTCATTGGGTGCCAGGTACTGCATAGGCTGTGTAGGTTCCTTCACTTCACTCTGTGCCATTCCTGTGACCTCATTAAGAAGATTAAAGCGCTAAAGATAAAGCCCTAAAGGCAAGATGTGCACCAGGGCTGGGCTCCAAAAGGTGCTAACTACTCAAAGTAGTAGATGCTGGCTATGCTCTACAAAAAGTTACCAGAGAGTAAGCATAAGAGTAATCCTGTCCACAGGATTCTTGCTATACAGAACCATCTTGCTTCCTTCCCCCTCTGAGGTAAAAGAAACCATACATGATGGAACATTTTTTTCCCTCTCAGGTTAAAACCAAGAGAGGAACAAATTGATTCCATCAGCAGGCCCTGGGCCTCTGCCAAGGATGCTTCCCTGGATATAAGCTGGGCCCAATCCTGGGCTGAGGGCCCAGGCCTTAGAGCCAGACAGCAGCGTGGTTAAAGGGACACAAGGTTTGGATGTAAGCAAGCTGTTCTGAGCTCAACATAGCAGTATTTATGAGCTTCCCTTGGAAAATGAAAATGCACAGGAGAAATGTTCATCACCAATATGTGCCAAAGAACAGAGTTGTAAAAGACAGAAAGCCTTGGGGGGGGAAAAAAAGCTGTTGCCAAAAGTGTTGAGTACTAAGAATATGCCTGGTTTAAGATGATATCTTAATTATTTTTTAATTAAAAAAGAGGAAGACGAGATGAAGGGGTAAGGCAAAGAAATTAGAAGAAATTCTAAAAAACATTTTACATATTTTGTAAAATTTATTATAAGTCCAATATATACATATTGGCCAGTCCTTCTGTTCTAGTAAGATTAATAATATTTCTCTTCACTAATCAAATAAGGACCAACTCTGGAAACAATTAAGAGGCAATGTGCTCTGTCAACACACAGAGAAGATAACATCTCTCTCATGGCAAACTATAGCTTCTTGGTGAAAACAGAAATTCTTCAACAGTGAAAAAGTAAAAGGGTTTGTGAATATGAAGGTAAATGAAAAAGATTCGTGAAACCATCCATAAAATTGATGTTTAAACCTCACTTGAGAGTTTGATATATGAGCTTGGATTTAGTGCTTATAAATCTTGGCCCCTGTTTGAAAATGGTTATTCCAGGTTACAGTCATTGAGTCCGGGAGCCAAAGAAGCATTTAATGACCCTTCTTTCCACGGGCTCATCAACAGCCTGTCTGCACAGGTTGCTTTCCACATTGCATGGCTGATGGTGATTTTCAAACATCTTGATCATTTCATGACTGAGAAGAAAGGTTGTTTTTAGAAGCTTTAGTTCATAGCTCCAGAATAGAAGGTAGCAGGTATATCTGGTAACTGGAATGTTCCATAAATTGTGTCTGATGGTAAGAAGAGCAGGTCCTCCAGGTGGGAGTGTAATGAGGACAGCACCATCAAGGGCCCTCTGGGAGGAGGGGAGAGCAGGAGCCAGAGTGTTCTAATGAGGTGGCTCGAGGGAAAGGCCTTCCTTATTACAAGCTGGGATAACTAAAAAGCAAGTCTGGTAGTGGCCACATAATCTATGCAAGAAAGCACAATAAGCTGGCTATGCTAGCAAAATACAAAAAGTACTTTACTAAAAGAGAAGCGTTGGACATCTAAAAGGAGTCATCAGAGTTGACTTGAAAATAGTCAAATTAACTTCCAAACATTGACAATACATATAGACAGTCCTAAGATATATAGGGTATAGTCCTACAAGTCTCAAGCTAAGTTGATCCTTCGTAAGTTTTCCTTGCTGATTGCAAATATGTCAAAATCACACAAAACAATATATTTCAGCCTTTGAATGCAATTCATCTAGGAAAATACTGAGATCACCGTCATAGGCTTTATAGCAATGAAGACTCGCGGAGCTCCACTGGCTCACTGAAAGGTGGGACACAAGTACAAGGAGAAAGCTCAAGCGAGTGGAGGGGCTTTGGTGCCTTTTTGAACAGCAATAACTTGCTAGGGTTAAACTTCTGGAAATAAAGGCTAAGTTTCTGGAAACGATGGATGAGAACTTCCAACCTTAATTAATCTCTTCGTCTCTGGATGGCACTCCTAATTCTTAATCAACAAAAGATGAACCAATGAAACGAGAAAGAACTGTCATGTCAACAGTGTGGTAGAAGCAGAGGTAGGCAGGAAGTGTGTGTATCACACCTGTGTATGAGTCACGGCGACCTTTGTCTGGCAAACACAAGCTCTAATTCATTCCCACATTCCTGGCCTTGATAACTCACACAGACTTCCTGGTATCCATTTTCTCAGGTTGAAGAAAGAGAAAGAATGTTCTACTCCTCTTGCTTTGTTCTGTAAGTATTATATATAAATGGATAAATGGACTCCTCCAGGATAAATGGAATCCTCCAAAAGAGTATAAAACATAAAAATGGGCCTATTATGGAACATGGTACATACAATATCAGCCGGTAAGATCTGTTGCTCATACTACTGCGGAGATCCATTTGGGATGTCTTTGCTGAAGAGTCTCTAAATGCTTCTAGAAGCTGCCCGAGTGTGTTTGGTGCAATCTATAAGGGAACTGATGAACTGTGGGTTACTGCAGAGTCATCCACTCTGCCTTTGCTAGACCTGACCGAGACTCTCCATTTTGTTTTGAAGATTGAGAGCATATACTATGGCCTGGCAGGCATAAATGTCAGGAGAGACTTGATTTTGCCAGTCCATGCAGGCCACTACTACTAGAAAGAGGAAGAGCATTCTTAGGAAGGGGGACTCAGATTGTAGGCTTCTAAATTCCTATGTGATTTTCAGCTGCCACTTGGATACAAATTTGCAATTTAGCAGATTAGTGATTCAACCAAGAATGAAATATTACAGTACTGTGCTCTACCATCATGTACAGTCCTGTCTACAAAGGAATTGAGACCATGTATTCATTCACACCTAAGCACACCAATCACTACCACAGCTGAGTGTGTTGATAGTCATGAGGGGGCAAAGAGGAACATATCCTGCTGCTATAGACTAAATGTTTGTATTCCTGTTGGACTCCTCAGCTCCGAAGTAATACCCTTTGCCTGCCTGAATAGAATTTGTTTCCTTATAAAGGAGGTCTCCAGAGAGACACATGTCCCTTCCACCATGAGAAGACCGAGTAAGGAGGTGCCATCTTAGAGACATTGAATCTTAGCACCATGATTTAGAACATCAGAAATGGATTTCTGTTGTTTGTAACTGACTCAGTCTATAATTATTTCTTAATATAGCCTGAGTAAACTAAGACATTTCTCCATTTCCTCCACAACTAGAGAAAGGGGAGGGGCAGGTTGCCATACTGTAAAGACACAATATGGTAAGTGTAAGATGCTCTCTTGAGCTAAACACAACGAGGCTTGTAGTAACACCCTTTGAGGGGATAAAATACAGTTTCAAAGAAGAGGTTACTTTAAGGCTAGGTCTGGTTTGTTGACAAGGGAGAAATAAGAACATAGTCTAGCTACAGGTTTTTGCATAGAACAAAGATGCACAAGAAAAATGAATATTTTTGGACAAAAGTGAGAAGATACTTCTAGTTAGCACTTGTGGGTGTTGGACGAGGGTATCAGACCTGGAGAAGAGATGCTATCGACAGTACTGAATATTACTTGAGGTAGTTTGGGATTTTTCTTGAAGACTTTAGAAACATTCTTTAGCAGGCAGATAAGAGTGATGATCAGTACACAGACCATTAGGAAGCTATTATAATAAGGCTGGGTGAATGCAGAGAAGACTCAGACTAAAGGTGCTGATGACATTAAGGAAGTGGGAAACACCCCAGCTTCCCTGACTGTTGTTAGAAGGATTATTGGAGAAAGAACAAAATAGGCTGATCATATATTCAGTTGGGAACATTTTTCATGTAAAATAAATGTAAGCAAATTTCTAATTAGAATTGTTGGAGTTGTTACGAAGTTTAAACAATATAACAACCAAAGAAAGAACACAATACTATTCCTGATGACTAGAAATGTGAAAGTGTGAACCTTCTAAAAAATCTGAAGCAGAAGAGAAACTTTTGAGATTTATTGGCACATGAATTATATATGGTTGGAAGTATGGTGAGGTATAAGTAAGCTCCATCATCCAGGGATTTATCATCCTGTAACTGGTGTCAGGAGCCCTGGTACACCAAAATATATAGTACCTCAGGCATTAAGATGGAGGCCAGTGAAGCAGCTTTGAAGGTTTGATCCCAGTGTGGGAATATTGAGAAAATGGTGTTGAATAAAAAGCAAGCAGTGAATAACCCCGGGGTAATTCTTCCCAGAGACTGGTAGAATGGAAACAGAAAGAACAGCCTACCACTCAGGGCATCATGAGTACTTTCAGCAAAAGCCATTGCAGTACAGGGCAGGGAGTGGTGAAACCGGACAACAACTCCTTTAGGAAGACTGCATTTCTGAGATACATTTTAACACTTGATAATACTTTCATCGAGGAATTCATTCTGCAGGTCTGCAACATGGAGCCTTTACTCTCAGGAGTCACAAAACCACTTTTCTTATTTAATTTGGAGAACGTAGGGACTTGAAAGGCAGACTGAGAACATGACTGCTGTCTGGATTTATTAGGTCTCTTGTTTTTGCATAGAGAACAGAACATTGAGAGTTTGAGGGAAAGAGTGAAGGGAAATAGGAGTAAAATATAAAGTCTCACAAACATAGTAAGTATTCTCTAACAAAGCAGAAAGCAGGGCTTAATCAGGCACTGCCTGAAAAGAACTGAGTGTCTTAGAGACTATACTCACCTGCTGCTAAAGATAGGTTTGGAAGCCTTTATGACATAGCCACTCTTACCTTCCTTTTGATATCCGTGAATTGGGAAAACATTAAAGACCAATAAAATGACAGCTCCAAGATGTAATAGTAGTGAAGGTCAGTTGTCAGTGGCTGAGGATGAAAGGAAAGAAGGAAAAATGGATAGTTAATAGGGAACCCAACTTGTATCCCCAACAGGTCAAGCTCAGGGCTAAAAGGTAACATGGACTCATGCTACACAATGAAGTACCTGCCCTATTCTCTTTGTGGATAGGGGAGCTCTCAAGGTCACCTCTAATCCATAGCTCAATGACTTTTTTTTTCTTTTCATCTCAAACCCAAAACGCATTAACCAGTGTGAATAGTTCTGGGTTCCAATTCCTTATTCAATTTCACAATAGTATTCGTTTCTTTCACACGAGTTACTGCAGAATTCCTTAGGCAACTTGAAAAAATATACCTAATGCATATATATTATGAATAATACTGGAGTATCTATCAGAGTTGGATGTACTGGGATAAGGAAGGTAAGTGACAGAAACTGAAGTCCCAGATGGGCCACTGAGGCATAGTTTCAAGTTCTTCAGTAATCAGAAAGCATTGTTTGTTATTAGGACATAGACAAGGATTTAAAACTATTTATAAAATGACCAGAGGAACAGAAAGGCTTCCAAGAGATACCAGACTGGGCACCCAGGAAGGATATGTGAGATGAAGAACAGCTCCATAGCTTGGGTATAAAACTGGGCTTTAGTTTACTTACCTGTAACAATGGACTGGGGTAGGGGAGATCATGCTTTAATGGCCTCAGAGGCTTAGGGGTGGGAGAGCTTACAGAGTAAGTGAAGTCAGAAATATTTATTTTGCACATACATCTACTAAAGACAAGTTTTCCAGAAACATTTTTGATGAGCTGTGATTAGAATAGAATGTTTTAGTTTACCATGAAAAACCTTTACAACTGATGGCAACCATGAACATACCTCTCCTCACAAGTTAATACTATATATAGTAAATGTGACTGGTATCATATGCATTCCATCCCAGGAACAGCATGAGTGCCCATCCTAAGAAGCTAAGCATTTGCTTAGTTACTTAAACACAGGTATCAAGGAAAGAAATTGTCCACCTCAGAGTTTTTGACAACAAAATACATTACAGGATTTTTTTTGCAGTACTGGGTATTGCACTCAGTTCTTACTAGATAGCCACACCCACACCCCCTTTATGAATTGATATTTTCAAGGTAAAGGCTCCTTTTTCTAAAATTCCCCTTGTCTGACCTCCTCCTTCGGCTTCTCCAGTGTCTCTAGGGATGGTAAGTTTATACCAATAAAAAGCAGGTCTAAACTCTGAGTGACAATGAGCATGACTATGGCTGAATTCACGCCCCTCTGTATGGGTTTATTTGTTGAGGCCTAGTATCCCATTGGATGGAGGTTGGAGGTGGGGCCTTTGGAAGATTTTGAGATTAACAAGGGAACACAATCTCTTTTTATAGAATTTTGTTATGGCAGTTTGACATGACTTAAAAAGGCATCTTTTCTTTTTTTTAAGTTAAGCATAGTGTCACCATGGAGAGAATATGTTTCTCACCAACTTCCCATTTAAAGCTTGAAGGAGTTCACAATGATATTTTGGCAGATGTGAACAGAATAGTGTACAAAATAGGATCCTGGTTTCAGCATCCTTTCAGCCAAGGTCAAATTTCAATTTTAGTGAGATTTTCTTTCTCTCAGCATCATCAACTAGGAAAAAGCCCTAGAAGGTTCTTAAGTACAAGTCAGATCACATCGAGAAACTGTAGAGTTCACAAGAGAGCACTGTACTCTAATTTCCATATTCATGGACTACTCAGCAGCTCAAGAAGCTCACTCACATGCTAACTTCTTTATGCTCATGAAACCTCTAAGAAATTAGTACTCTCATTCCAGGTCTAAATTATAGAGTTGACAAGAAATTGCTGTCAGTTAATTCAGGTTAGGAGGCCAAGTCCGTGTCTCGGAGTAAGTGAGGCCTCATGACCTGAGCATCAGGGTTCTCATGTCTAACATCCGCTCCTCGTAACAAGCTATATGAGGCCAGGTCAATTGAGTGCAGCCTTATATTATTTTCATCTTAAAACATACCTATGGAAAAATATAACAAATGCAAGGAGGAGGAGTATGCCCGTAACAAACTTCAAGTGCACTAGTATTTTTTAATCTGAAAAATCTCAATTACTTGTGTAATATATATGCTAAAAGCATAATAAATATGTTTTATGAGCATGCTCAATCTTTCAAAGTACTCTGGAAATTTGAACTTGACTTTGAACTGCAATCTACTAAACATAATTATATATAAAGCACTATAATTATAAAGGTAACAACTACATGTTTAGTGTTTAATCCTTCCATACACATGCAAAGAGAACTCTGTTAAGATTTTTGAATATATGTATTTGCCAAGGATGACCATTGTTCCCAAGTTATCAAGAGAACATGGATTTATTCTCGATGTTGGGAGGCTTATGCTGAATTATTCAGTTAGGCCATGTTGCCTCATCAGTGGAAGTTAATTCTTGATCAGAATTCTTCTCCACATCTTTCCTTCCACAGTTATTTTTTATTTTTAAGAATAGTGATATCTGCTAGACCCTCAACCTTTTGTGTTGAGTCTATAGTGCTGTTTTTGAATCAGTCTGCTGCTACATTTTTTGTCATAGTCATAGCAACTTGTCTTCTCAAATAAGTAATTGCTCAGCTCCAGCCAAGAATGTGAAAATTATTTTTGACTGCATGGTAGTTAAGGAGAGTAGCTATCCCATTTCAAGTGGTTTGTTTCAGTGTCTTCCATGTTGTAGAACTTACCTCATAGCTAGCTATGAGGTCTTACAGCAGCTGCTAGGCTAACATTCCAATTAAGGTTGTAGCAATCTTTAAAATCCTCTTATAAATAGAAATTGTGTGTGTGTGTGTGTATGTGTGTATACTATTATAGAGTATAAGGAGAGCCTTAAATGACAACATTCCAAGTACTTAAGACACCAAAAGAGAAGTTGGGCCTGAGAATTATAACTGAATTCTGAGAATTACAATGATGGTACATGAGCATTTCTGCCCTGCCTCAGTCTATAACAGGTAGTTTGTGTACTAAACTTTCTCTAACCAGATCCTGTGACTTGTTTGCATTTTTCAACCTAAACACACTGCTTGAAGGGGATGGAAATGTCAACTTGAATTCCAGGGCAATGTGCCTATAGCCAAGAATTTTCCCAAGGAGAATCTAATGCCATTCCTTACCCAGGTTGTCACTCTGTGACAGAGATGTGCTGCTCCCCATTAACCATCTGCACACCTAAAGGACAACCCCAAACTCAAACAAATTGCTTGCTCTAATGTATGTCTCATTATTTCGCCAACATAAAAATAGTTGCATTTTCTCATAATACATATCCCAGTTAATCTAGGAATTTCCTAGCTAGGAATTCTTAGACAGACTCTACCACTGACATTCAAATGCAAACTTATCTGGCAACTAGAACAATACATATGATTGAATTCATGGATTGATGCAAAGGTATGTCAGTAGGCAGGGATGGAAAATGATTTAAGGATCATTTCTGGGATATGTCTTAATCTCACTTTAGTAATATAGAATTTTAATTAGAAACCATCTATATGTAATCATATAGACTCATTTTTTTCTGCACGGAAGAAGATGGTGCTTGATTTACATATTTAAAGGCTGCCGGGAGTTACGAAGTGAGATGAACTCTGAATGGCTGCTCCTGCTTGTTGTTCCCACTTGCAGCTGGAGCTTGTGCTGTCATCACATTGTCATTCTGTTCTGTAATAAGAAGCAGAGCAACCCAGGCAAAGAAGAATCACACTTCCCTTGATCTGATTAAATCCTAATCTCCAGAAAGTGGACCTTCTAAGTTTACACCATTGGAGAAAGCAATTGGGCTTTGATTTTGAATACAATAGGAACATACAAACTATTTTCCTCAGTAAATCATGTCCGGAATCAATCAGTGGGGTGGAGCTAAAATGTAAGTGACAACTGCCAGAAACCATGAACTTGACCTAAGGAAGATCACTATGTATGACCCAGATGGGCAGGTCTACTTACCTGGTAGGGATAGTTGTACCAGCAGTGCCTTGTATTCCACAACCAGGGAGTCTGGAAAAACAATAACAAATATGTTTTACATGTTTTAGAATAGCATTAAGAAGATAAGAGATGTTTCCAACGATTCCAATACTTCTAATGATTTCAATAGTTTACCTGTGTGAGAATATAAGGACTAAAAACAGCTAGGAACAGGATGTTAAAGCATAGTGGCTCTCTGAGTAATGTTCTAAACTCAATTGGCAGTATCTCAGACCGCTTTTGCATCGAGTTTCAACCTGGGACGTCTGCTGGTCACAAATATAGTCCTGCTATTGAGGATGCATCCATACTTAACAACAGAGCCTCTAGGGTCTTACCAAGAGTAGATACAAATCATCCTACTCACTAAGCAAAAAATGTCCTACCTCTTATTCAACATTTACAAACCCATATTGTTAAACCAAGTGCTGGTGGCTTACACCTGTAATCCTACCTACTCTGGAGACTGAGATCTGAGGAGCATAGTTTGAAGGCAGGTGGAATAAGTCAATATTGTTCATGCCTTGCCAGGATTAAGTGACATATAGATATATATCTTACGTACCAATAGGTCTGTATGACAAAGCATTCCTAATATGATGACATCAACCTGCCTTACAGAGCTGTATAACTAAAAAAAAAAAAATCTCAGAATACACACAGATTCTCAGCATTTGTAATAATCAAGGATGTATTCAGATGGATTTAAACAGCTGAACTCTCCAATAATATCAGCACAAACTTTCTCATATTTTTGTATTTATCAGACTCTTTCATCTGCCACCTGTAATCACCAACATTTTCTAGTATACATTTCTATATACATGATATACAAATGTATAACCCCTCACCATCATCAGATCTATATAATGGGTATATTATGTTCAGGAGGCTAGTATTTGTGGTCTGACATACCTTTAAAGGATATCTGAAGTTGTGCTTTATTCAAGCACTATTCAATTTCTTTCATTTGCTCTGCCCCTGATTTTGCCATTTACTACTTGTCCAGCTCACATGTATCATTAAATTTCACTGCACTTGAATTCCTGAGTGTGAGCTACATAGTTATTTTCTGTATTTCTCTCATCTGTAATACTGGTGTTTATTATTCATCTCTGGGGGTGAATGTTAGGGTCAAATGATATAAATGTTTATGTTATTCTATTTTTATAGTGATATAGTCCATTTTTGCTCACTGAAGAAGATACAGAATATATAGAAAAGAACAAAAATGGGCTGGGAATGTGTCTTACTGGTAGAGTGTTTGCCTAGCATGCACGAAGCCCTGGGTTTGATTCCTTAGTACCACATACACAGAAAAAGCCAGAAGTGGATCTGTGGCTCAAGTGGTAGAGCGCTAGCCTTGAGCAAAAACAGCCCAGGGACAGCACCCAGGCCCTGAGTTCAAGCCCTAGGACTGGCAAAAAAAAAAACCAACCAAATATTATTTTAATTATCGTCTTTGTCTTTTTGTATATGTTAGATATAAATATAGGTCAACATTTATTTTTAAATACACGTTTATGTTTTTAAAGTGTGAACATAGCACACCCAAATCTATTTACAGTACAGTACATATGCTAGTTATTGTCATTTTCTTTGATCAAATTGTTTATCCACAATTAACTGGAAGTCCCTGAAGGGAAATGATGAGATGTTTATTACAAACCTAGAAGTAGTTTTCTGAATACATCAGTCCGGAGATCACAGGGAGTCATCACACCTGTCTGTAAAGGTGCAAACAAGATCTCTTTCTATGTGACCATCCCTTGTGATTTCAGGCAGGAGAGTAAAGGTACGATGTCCAGGACCCAGAAAGATCTACAGCTTAGAGCTCTCCTTCCTCTACGAGCATCTTGACTAGAACATCTTGGCTACTGCTCTGCTTCTAAAACCCTAGGTGTATCAGATGCGCATCATTACTGTGAACCTGCTACCTGACTGGCCATACAGTGGACAAGGTCTGTTTTTCATGAGCTCCAGCCACCTCATGTAAAGCAAAGGCTGGGGGCTGAGTTGGACAGAGGACCCAAACTCAGCTCTTTTTTGCCAAATGTTTTAATAATAAATGCTTTCACACATGTATTCATGTATACTCCTCTCTCACAATGCCAGATGGTATGTCAGTTTCCATACACACTGTTCATCTTTCCAATATTGCACATTATCACGACAACACTGGAGGATAAAATCATATATATATTTCTAGTTCTTCGATAAGAAAACAAAAATCTGGGAGAAAGTGATTTTCCTCATTTGTTGTACAGACTCTACAACCCTATTCTGAATATTCACATGGTAAAAGTAAAGTCTACATAAATATTTTTTAATCAAAAAAAATCTGAAGTACTTTAGGGTCCAGCAATTCAGACAAGAGGTATTTAACCTATAGCTTAACAGTGATATAGAATTTGATATTTATACTCCATTATATACATCTGTTTTAATTTGGATTGATTCCTTAATGTTGTTATCATTCCATTTATCAATTTCTCCATTGATGAAAAATTCCATTTTTCTAGTTATCTGTTTCAGAATAATGTTCATATTTATTTGATGTAAAAAAATCTACATATTATACCATAAAAATTAAACAATAATATCATTAGGACTACAAGATGCTGAAGTACTTAGGTTCTACAAACAAATAATGAAGATTAAAATACACTGAAAAGCCTCAGTTTAGAAGGGTGGTTCTATGAACTTTCTTTTTGCTTTTGTATATGATATTTTTCATTTCATGATATATGATCATCTTTCTTTTTATGCATTTTTATTGTTATTATAAAGATGATATAGAGGAATTACAGTTATATAAGTCAGATAAAGGGGACATTTCTTTTTGTACAATGTCATCCCTTCCCTTGCTCTCTCCCAGTTTTTCCCTCCTGTCTCCATCCATGAGCTGTGTAGTTCATTTTCAACACAGTGAGGATCACTTTTGTATTTGTTCAGTCTTTCTCCAACCATTTCTGTGCCCTGCTTACCCTCCCAAAGACAGATAAATGAATAAACGAGACAAAAGGAATATAAAAGGAAAACAGCAACAAAGAAAGAATCTTGCTTCCATTTGCTGGTGTTCATTTCAATAAATCTTATTTTATATGATCAGATAAACATAGCTGTTGTGCCTCTGTGGTCTTCTCCTAAGACTATCTTCCTTTGGTCTCACGGTGTATGAATGCCTAGAGACCTGCATAATTTAACAAGTGCCAGTTTTTATTTTTTACCATCCAGGATATTTACTTGTAGATTTATAGGCACATTCTAGTTACCCAAATGAAGGAAACCATGCAACTTGTGTCTTTGGGTCTGGCTTACTTCACTTAATATGTATAACTTTTCCAAGTCTATCCATTTCTTTATGAATTGCACAATATCATTCTTTTTGATGGAGGAGTAGAATTCCATTGTGTATATATACTACATTTTCTTGATCCATTTGTCCACGGAGGAATATCTGGGTTGATTCCATAGCTTGACTATGGTAAGCAATGCTGCAATGAATGTGATTGTGCTGGTAGGTTTTGTGTGGCCTTGAAATCTCTGGACCTCAAAAGTGTGTGGCAATTCAAGCACATTTTCTAGAAACAGAAGGCTTTCCCCACATGGCATTATAATACCAAGGATGTTATCAATGTTGAAAATCCCTAAAACTCATTGACTCCAAAATGTTGGTGTTCTAATACCTCATGAGTACAGTCGTGCCTCATCACATCCTACATTTGAATAATGTGATGAAGCACTTTACAAATTTAAGATATTTTATCCTATTGAATTTTCAACAATGAGTTGTCACTGTTTAGGGTAATGTAGCCAGCAGGTGCCTTATGAGATCTATAAAGAACATGCCAGCTCAGAGCTTGCCAAATTATTCAAGTACAGGTTTGTGACTCAGTAAGTGTGGGCTGGGGTAAAGTTCTGCATGGCTAAGGCTCTGGATGATGCGGATACTGTTAGATCATGGGTCACATTTTTCAGTAGGAAGGACAGTGCTAGAAGGAAATAGAATGAATGATTTTAAACACTCAGTTATGTTCCACAATTCAGTGTATATGGATTCATTGATAAGTTACTTCTAATTATTACAATAACTATTTGAAGCAGGTAATCAACAGTAGTAAAATAACATCTAGAGACATGCTCTTCTCTCAACTGCCCTCTTAGTTACTACTATATATCTAATTTCTGGCACAGGAATGTAAGCTACTTCTGCCCACAACAGCTAAGGAGTAAGTTGGTCTATCTCCTTGCACATATGTTGTCATTGGTAGATAAAAAGAAAACTTTTGCAGTGCTTGACATGGCTCTGCCCTGGACATTTCTGGTGAAATTATCAGCCTTGGTCTGCATTCTCCTACATTGTTTGTATAAGTTAAATTGCTAACATTTTGCTCCCATTCATGCTACTGTATGCACACACACACATACACAAAACATACATGCATTCCCAAAGGGTCATGTAATTTTTTTTTGTGGATCATGGGGCTTAAACTCTGGGCTTGGGTGCTATCTCTCAGCTCTTCAGCTCAAGGTGAGTATAGCACTTGAGTTACAGCGCCACTTTTGGTTTTCTGGTGGTTTATTGAAGATAAGTGTCTCATAGACTTTCCTGCCCAGGCTGGCTTTGAACCATGATCCTCAGATCTCAGCCTCCTGAGTAGCCAGGATTACGGGCTTAGTCACTGGTGCCCAGCGGGTCATATATTTTTTAAGTTTTGTGTTCTTCTGTCATTTGATGTCATATTATAAATTCTCTCTTTTTTTCAGTTATACTTCTTAAGTATTGTTAAATGTCTTTACTCTAGTCATGAACTTAAATATTTTTCTTTTTATTATCCTTAAGTAGTGAGATATAAAAAAATAAATGTATAAAAAGAAAATGAAAATATAAGGAAAAGATAGATATTTTAATGAGTAATCAAATTCATTAACTTTTAAGGCAGATTTGTAGCAGATGTGAACCACTGGGTGAAACTGTTCTGTAGGCATGGCTATCTGGCCAGTCTTATTTTCTGCTATCCATATTA